CATCTACTGCCCCACGTCTGTCTGCTCCTATTGACTACTGGCTACGAACTGCGTATAATCTAATAGTCGCAATCGTCCTGTGAGATCCTTAACCGTCCGGATCTTAAAATGCGTATGATCTAAGGAATATGGATACCGTGTTCAACCAGCTGAGGGTCTTTTCAATATTTTAGTTATGATACACATGTGAGTACATGCAAAAAAACTTCGCTAAAAAGAGTCAAAAAACAACCCTTTGGCTTTCGAGAATTCTCAAAAACAGAATAAACGGAAAAATGGTCTGGCTCAGTGCGCACGTATCATTTTTTCACTTTTCCATGGATTTCGTTGCATCGTTGGTGTGTAGAAATTCAATGCCGGAGCAGCTTTCCTTCCTTCATGAACTGGTCATGCCAGTGGATTTGAAATAGCTTCTGTAAACTATGTTGAATTCCATAGTATATTTAGCCCCATCTGAAAAGACCATATTTGGTTGGAGTTTGGCGGGATATAGCCTTTTTATTGGAAGCATTTTCGTCCCACCAACGCGGGTACCGGAAATCATCACATTTTACCTGACACTGAACTACAGTCGTTCATTTCTAGTTTAACAAGCCAAAGGGTTTTCATAAAGGAAACTATTCACAAGGTTGCTGAAAACCCTTCGACAGCCCACGACCGGTTTCGCATTTCTTGGGGCTCATCAGATGGACGCAGTCCCCGAGTTCCCGTCAACCTTATGTTCTACTTGAACCCAAATTGGACTCTTCAAGAACCACACTCATTTCCAGATCAATTTGGTTTTCACGAGAGACTCAACTGAATCTCTCGTTTATGATATTCTACAACTGAAGGTGCTGCACACAGGCCGCCTCATAATTCAGTTGGCACGATATTCGAGATATCGCAGTATATTTTCATAAAGTTTTAGAATATCATAAACGAGAGATTCAGTTGAGTCTCTCGTGAAAACCAAATTGATCTGGAAATGAGTGTGGTTCTTGAAGAGTCCAATTTGGGTTCAAGTAGAACATAAGGTTGACGGGAACTCGGGGACTGCGTCCATCTGATGAGCCCCAAGAAATGCGAAACCGGTCGTGGGCTGTCGAAGGGTTTTCAGCAACCTTGTGAATAGTTTCCTTTATGAAAACCCTTTGGCTTGTTAAACTAGAAATGAACGACTGTAGTTCAGTGTCAGGTAAAATGTGTGATTTCCGGTCCGGTGCCCGCGTTGGTGGGACGAAAATGCTTCCAATAAAAAGGCTATATCCCGCCAAACTCCAACCAAATATGGTCTTTTCAGATGGGGCTAAATATACTATGGAATTCAACATAGTTTACAGAAGCTATTTCAAATCCACTGGCATGACCAGTTCATGAAGGAAGGAAAGCTGCTCCGGCATTGAATTTCTACACACCAACGATGCAACGAAATCCATGGAAAAGTGAAAAAATGATACGTGCGCACTGAGCCAGACCATTTTTCCGTTTATTCTGTTTTTGAGAAATTGTGTAAATCACAATTATTCCTGCAATTTCGAGTGTTTGCAAAGAAGCCATTGTTTTAATCATCATAAATTTATCATAAATTCAATTGGAGAGTTTTTACAACGTAATTAACCTCAATTTTGTGCTATCAACGCTGGTGGTTTGTTGACAAATCTCGTAATTATTGGGATTATTCGTGACGCATCGTCACCTATAGACCGTGGACTATGCATCTTCAAGTCAATACAAATCGCAAGTAATAAAATCACAGCCTCAATATTATGCCGCATCAATAGAGAGAGTTAGGAATTTGTGGTGTTTTCCTTCGAGAAGAGACTGGAAAATATAAAATTTAAATTTCTCGCGCCCACCACCCAACGATTAACTTTGACCACCAATGCCCTCCTCCAAGTCAAATAACTTATGAAAATCACGAGTCTAGTTTTTAGTCAACTGGACAAAGTTTGGAACTGACTGAGAAGTAACCGTTTCAGTTGAAAACACTGAATAGCAAACCTTTATGAAACGAAGTGGTCTGCTGAAAAAGCACATGCTGTGTTTCGCATTAGGGGTCAAAATTCCACTCCTTACTCTCGTGCTGTCATGTTATCTCAGTCTTTTACTGGCTGGTTATCAAAGCCTCGGGAGTGGAAACCGGAATACACTAATATTCTTGTTAGTGTTGATGACAAATGCGAAATTTCACGACTGATGCTGATGCTGAGCTGGAATATCCTACCTTCTCCCAGTAATGTAAAAGATCTTGAGGGTGAACAGCTATGGGATAGACTTTTACACACTCAATAAAACGGAGCTGGAGGACTAAGGGAAGCTACGAGCAGTTGATCGCAGTTAGACCTTCTGCTGCATTGGAAGAATATAGGAAATCCGGTACAAGAAAAACAGATTAAACAAACTTCTCTAGATCGAGGGTGATAGTGTGTTTCGACAGTCGATGGTAGCGTGCATCACCTTTATCAGTGCCTTTACACAACTATGATCACATCTATCCCTATTTAGTGAGTTTGAGACTGGGCTTGTAAAGGGTATGGACACATGGAAGAGGATGTTGACATATTTTCAATGGGAAGAATAAACATTGAAAGAATAGTGGCGATTCGCACAGTATCGGAAGCTTCTATGTGGAATGTGGGGTCTAACATGGGATGGAGGTTTTATTTATTCTAAGTTATCCAACGTATGATGCGCTTGGCATGGAAATGAACGTGGAACTGTGTCATACCTACCAAATCACGCGCAACAACTTGCGAAACGCCTCGTCATAAACTAAGACGGTATCAGTTACGCGAAATACATTAAATCTGCCAATTCGGGAAAGTCGTCAAATTTGAGCAAAATCATCAAACCGTCTAGCGTGCCATCAAGATTCACACTTACTATCCAGTTTGAATCTATATTCAACCATCGGTTGTACATATAATTAGAGTAAAGCAAGAAGGATGTGTGGTTGGTTTCATTAATTACCAGTTAACCATATGCTGCGTGATGTGGTGCCTAAACATTAAGGAGAACGGCTGGAGTTATTCTAAAGATTTTCGAGCAACATGATGAACTCAGACTTACCTTGAGCATCCATTATTTTTTATACTTTCATAAGGAAATTGATGACCTGTTTACCAATTGATTGCAGCTGGCATCAGTTAATTTAGCAATCTGAAATTGTGGTAATTGTTGTTACTCGCCTTGCTCCAACATTCTTGATCGACAGCGCCAATCATGGGTTTTAA